GACGGAAGCAGCTAAATTTAAGGCAGGGCACACTCCACGGCGAGCAGGTATCACCCCGCACCCCGTGAAACAAATCAACGAAAAGCTCTGATTTCACGTGGAGCTGAGTCCCAGGAGCGGAGTGGGGTATGCAGCACCCACACTGTTCTAGCTCATAAGAAAGTCACTGAACGAAACAGGGCAAGCTGGGCAAGGTGGCTCACACCTGTAATCCCAGCGCTTTGGGAAGCAGAGGTGGGCGGATCACCCGAAGCCAAGAGTTGGAGACCAGCCTGGCAAATATGGTGAAACTCCATCTCTACTAAAAATACAAAAAGTAGCGAGTCGTGGTGGTGGGCGCCTATAATCCCAGCTACTTGGGAGGCTGAGGCAGGAAACTCTCTGGAACCTGGGAGGCAGAGGTTGCCATCCAGCCTGGGCGACGAGCAAAACTCCATGAAAGAAAGAAAGAGAGAGAGCCGGGCGCGGTGGCTCAAGCCTGTAATCCCAGCACTTTGGGAGGCCGAGGCGGGTGGATCACGAGGTCGAGAGATCAAGACCATCCTGGTCAACATGGTGAAACCCCGTCTCTACTAAAAGTGCAAAAAATTAGCTGGGCATGGTGGCGTGTGCCTGTAATCCCAGCTACTCAGGAGGCTGAGGCAGGAGAATTGCCTGAACCCAGGAGGCGGAGGTTGCGGTGAGCCGAGATTGCGCCATTGCACTCCAGCCTGGGTAACAAGAGCGAAACTCCGTCTCAAAGAAAAAAAAAAAAAAGAAAGAAAGAAAGAGAGAGAGAGAGAGAGAGAGAGAGAGAGAGAGAGAGAGAGAGAGAACGCGTGAAGAGCGCACGCGCGCAAGCAAAAAGAAAACAGTTTGTGGGCACGTCAACGACAACGCGCAGCAAACGGGAGTTTCAGCCCTCACAGGGCAGCGCACCGACTCCCAGTCACAAGACATCAGGGCCTTTCTTAAAATACCAAACTCTAGTGATTTTGCACACACACACCAAGTCACTAACATATGTGTAGCCACGCTTACCGTGTAACGCCACACCTCCTCCTGGCCCTCTGTGCCCGCCTCTCCGCTCTGTAAGCACGCCACCTGTCTGTGGCCAACCAAACTCCAGCATAAGGGCCGGGGGACACCAGAGCCAGCGTCAACACCAACACCATTCCACAAGCACTGTTCCTGACCGCACTCCTTACAGAGAAGAGAGGTTTTGAAATCACTCCCTTCAACAAGTGAAGCCCGATCCTCCTCCCACTGAGTAAGGGCTGGGCAGAGTCAAGGAGCAGACAAAACCTCAGCTGGTGAGGACCAGGCCACACAGGGCTCTGTGGAGCCCGCTCGTGCCCACCGGGGTCATGCACTATGGGAAATCCAGCTGCCACATCGTGAACACGCTCAGGCTGCCCTTCAGAGAGGCCCATGTGGCAAAGAACTAAGGCCTCCTGCCAAAAGCCAAGTGGGTGAACTTGCCCAACCTGGGCAAAAAGAGCGAAACTCTGTCTCCAAAAAAAAAGATTTTCAGCAGGTCCTGCAGCGCCAGTCAAGCCTCCAGGTAACCAGAGTTTGGCTGACTGCAGTCCCAGGGAGGCCTGAGCAGAACCTCCCACACCCGAGGCGGCACAGGCCCGGTATGTGACCGTGAGGCGGCACAGCCGTGGTTTGGGTTTTGGTTTTTTGTTTTGTTTTTCTTTTCGTTTTGAGACACGGTCTTGCTGTCACCCAGGCTGGAAGGCAGTGGTGTGATCTCAGCTCACTGCAACCTCCAACCTCCCAAGTAGCTGGGACTACAGGCGCACACCACCACGTCCAGCTGATTTCTGTATTTTTGTAGAGACAAGGTTTCACCACGTTGGCCAGGCTGGTCTCAAACTTCTGACCTCAAGTGATCTTCCCGCCTCAGCCTCCCAAAGTGCTGGGATTACAGGTGTGAGCCACCGCGCCCAGCTGGTTTGGTTGTTTTGAACACAGATGTGGAGTTGTAAGCCTGCCTGGTCTCATGTTTGCTGGCGCTCGTTGCAGAGAGCTCACTCTGCCAGTGCTATCCAGACTGAGGGTGGGCCGGGCCCGGGGGCTCACGCCTGTAACCCCGCACCTCGGGAGGCCAAAGCAGGTGAATCACCTGAGGCCAGAAGTTCAAGACCAGACTGGACAACACGATGAAAGCCCATCTCTAATAAAAATACAAAAATTAGCTGGGATAGTGGCAGGCACCCGTAATCTCAACTATTTGAGAGGCTGAGGGAGGAGAATCGCTTGAACCCGGGAGGCAGAAGTTGCAGTGAGCCGAGATTGTACAGTTGAACTCCAGCCTGGGCAAAAAGAACGAAATTCCATCTCAAAAAAAAGATTGAGGGTGACAAGATCAGAGGCAACAAAGCCACTAGGATGATGTCTCTGTAGCCAAAGAGGGTATGAAGGCCCGAGGCAGAAGAACTGGGATCAGGAGGAAGGACTCAATCAGAGAAACACCGAGAGGACGGGACAGCAGCCTGGGTGGTCAGTGCTCGCGTGGACAGGGACAGACCAGCTCAGCAAGGGGCCCAAAGCCGGGGCTACATGGATCTGAGGGATGGATGCCCCGCGCAGCCCCAGTTCTGGGGTCAAGGCTCCAGTTCCCGCACAGCAGGGTTTTCTCCTCCCAGAGAAAAACCAGCACCCACCTATGTACCAGACACACATACCACAGAGATCACATACCACACATGTCACATACACACCACACACACCCCCCCACACAACCATACACAGACTACACCACACACACCACACACACACATCACACACACCACACACACCCACCACACATACCACACATCACATACCACACACATCACACACACCCCAGACACACACGATACAACCACACACACACACCATACATACCACACACACACCGCATACCACACATCACACATACCACACACTACCACAGACCACATACCACATGTCACACACACACCACATATCACACATCACACATAGATGTCACACAATCACATCTACCACATACACACCACACATCACATACCACACACACACATCACAGATGCCACACACCACACGCACACGATACCCCACATACATACCACACACACACCATGCACACCACCCACTCCACACACACACCACACCACACACACACACATCACACACACCACATAGCACCTACCACACCCAGAGCACACACCACACATGCCCACACACATACACACATACCATACACCACACACCACACACCACACAGCATTGACGGCAGCCCTGACCTCTCATCCGTCTCCCCCACACACGACACACCCCGAATGCCCTCAAGCCCTGGTCCTGGGTCTGGCGAGTCCCTGCCTCTACCCACACCTCGCACTCTGCCGGGGGTACCCCATCTCCAGATTGAGCCCCACGAAGCCTCTCCCAAGGGTCCTCGATCACCATTCACCCACCCCTCAGTCAGTCTGCCTCCCAGGGCATCTGAGAAACCTAGGGTCATCTCGAGGGCATGCTGAGGTTGTCCGGTCATCAATACGCCCCTGGCACCATCCCTTCCCCACCCAGCAACGTGCAGAGCCCGCAGCTCCCTCCTCTGCTCCTCTCCCTCCTGGTCCCGGCAGGTCCTGACACCCATGCTGTGCACACCCAAAGCCCTGGCAAGCAGGAACAGCCTGGTATGTCCAAAGCTCGCCATCAGCTTTCCAGCATGTGGTGGCTTCCCCAGGCCAGCCCATCTCATAGCAAAGGATGAGAGGCTTCTTCTCTAAACCCTGCTCTCTGCAGAAAAGTTTCACAGCAGGGAAGTCTGGGTTTTCAACTCACCTCAAGCCCCCAGGAAGAATTGCCTGGAGAATCCACTGATCAGAAGAGGCCATGCTCACGGTGCCCTTGGTGTGACCAAGCACCAGCATCCTGGAGGACCCTGGGAATCCCACCCGGCATGCCAGCCACACTGCTCTCTCTAAGCTGTGGCCAGGCTGAGGAGGACCCGGGTCTGTGCCCCTTCTCCAGTCCCCAGGGGATGCCCAGGCCCAGCCCGCCAGAGTAAAACAGCACAGCACATATCTGAGGGACAGATGCCCCACTCACGCCCTGTGCACAGCTCCACCACATCCATGGCCTTCAGAGGCAGGGCACAGGCAGGCCTGTGGCCCAGAGGATGGGCCTGGGGGCAAAAGGTGGGGGGCTGCCAAGGCCACAGGTTACTGAGGAGAGAGGCTGACACTGATCCTGTCCCACCTCAGCCACAGCCCCACTCGGGCCTGGCTTACACTCAAGGGTTGGCATCGGAAAGTCCTGTTAATTTCTGCCCAAAGCTCCCTGAGTGCTGCTAAGGTCCCAGAGGTCTCTGAGCACACGGAGGTGAACACACCCCCTCAGTAACACAGAGCAAGACCTCAGGACACCTCCTCAGTCCTGTCTCCTTCCTGAACTCTGTACCAAGCACGGCCTGTGATGGGGGTGGGTGTGGGCAGGTGGGCGGCACTGAGAATCTTCAGGTGGGTGCAGGCTCTCTCACACATCCTGACAGTTTCCGCAGAAGGTGCCTGTGGAGTCCCGAGGTACACAGGCGCTGCTGGGCTCTGAGCTGCAGCATGGGCACCCGCTGGCTCTCACAACAGAGGATCCCAGGCTCTGCCTCAAATGGGGCTCCCAGGACAGCCTCTCACTTCCTGAGACATCATCCCAGGAAAAGCTGGGGGGGCTCCCCAGCAGCCGAGGTCGGTGGCTCAGCTAGGCCAGAAATGCACAGATCTGCTCCTGCTGCTCCCCCAGGCCACACCCCATGAGCCTAGCCGGCCACCCTGGGCCTGTGTGGGGCTCTTCCTCTGCAGGGCAGGTGGGGTGACCTGGGTGCCCTGATCACTCCAACCCACTCTGAACGGCTCTCCTCATTCCTTTCCTCCCAGTCCAGAGGGGACCAGCCAGGTGGTAGCAGCCGTGTCCCAGGGAATCGGCCAGCCTTACCCAGCACTGTCGCGTTCAGACCTGCCCTCCCTGAGCCCTCAGAAACAAGGAAGTCTCACCCGTGTCATTTTCAGGAAGTCCAAGGATGGGCGCGTCCACCTGGCGTCTTCCTCGCGCCTCCGTTTGCGCCGGCTCCTCTTCCCACTGAGCACACATGGCTGTGAGCGGCAGCGGAGCAGCCCGCGGGGCCGGCCCAGCTCAGGGGTGGACGTGGGGCTGCTGCTGGCCGAGGGCAGGGGGGTGCCCGCGCCTGCGAGTTGCTCCTGCGAGAGGGACAGGCGGCGCCTCGCGGAGAGCAAGCAGGGCTCCGTGGAACACCAGGGCGGGCCTGAGCCTACACTGCCCTCACTGCTGTCCACGAAGCCGCTGCTGGCCGAGGACGGCCGGGGCGTGGCAGGTGAGGTGGGGCCGGCCAACCACAGGGTACTCCTCAGCAGGACGGCGCCCGGGCTTCCCTGCAGCATGGCGCTCCCACCACTGTTGCACCGCCTCTTGGAGACTGGAGTCCAGACCTTGGAGCTGCCGGGGCGCCAGGGGGACCAGCAGCGCGCCAGCTCCTCGGGTTCTGACAGAGACCGGCAATGACGCTTGGTGGGCGGCGCCGTGGACGACCCTGTGCCTTCACTGGGGTCCACGGTGCTGGCTGCACCCAGGCCCGCGCCTGGGCCCGGGGACTCTGGCCGCCACTGGAGACCCATGGTGTGCGCAACAGACAGGCCCGGCAGGAAGGAGAAATCAGGGCCCAAGGCTGCCCGGCGCCCGGAAGGCGGCCCCCCACCTAAGGCCTTCCAGGGACTCTCGTCTACGGAAAAGACACAGAGGCAGGGGAAGAGACGGGTGAGCCACAGGGCAGGCCCAGCCTCTTCCCACTGCATGGGGCAACAGCCATCCTGGCAAACCGCCCAGCAGAGCCGTCGAGGGCACAGCCATTGCCATCACCCCAGACGTGTTTCTCAAAGATGTCTATGGCGCAAAGTGGGCATCAGCCCCACCTGCCCTCACCAGGTTGGCTGCAGGACTTGGCTCACTTTTTAAGGGGATGCCGTGTCTCAAAGAGGTGTCAGCCGCCCGGCCAGTGCCTCCCTGAAAACAACCACAAGGCTCTACTCTCCCGACTGCTTTGCTAAAACCTTCTTCCTACATCCTCAAACACTTCCCTCCCTCTGCGGCCAGGCATCTCACGGGTGTGGGCTTCCCCGGCCAGGACCCCCCAGAGCCTCTTCTTAAAGCAGCTCAGGTCCCTAGGTGACATGGGCAACAGAGGGTCCCACCTGCGGCCAGGGTCTCCAGGGAGTCTGAGCCCCAGAAACTCCTCGAAAACCTCAGAGCCACCAGGCCCAGGACTCAAGCTCCTCCTCAGCCTCACACCCCCACAGCTGTCCCGGGGCCGCCCGCCTGACGCGCTCCCCAGCCCGGCTGCCACCACCTACTCATGCCATCACTGTGGTTGGGAGAAGCCTCGAGAGCAAGGCCAGGTGTGTGGGCCTGGCGTGGCATCGGCCTGGGCAGGGCCATGTGGACCCCCAAGACACCCCCCCTGGCTTGTGCAGTTGCTGTCCAGCTGAGGAACCTGGAGTGGAGGCTGCAAGACTCGCCTCTGGGGAAAGGCCCTGGGGTGACCCTGGGGTGGCAAGGAGAGCTATGGGAGTTGTGGGGAGCATGCAGGGAGGTAGAGGCGGGGAGAGCACCCAGGTGAGGTGCGTGGGAAGCCCTGCGGGGCTCTGAGCCAGGATGAAGGTGGCTGGTCTGGCCCCGTGTGCAGGACAAACCCCAGGAGGCTGAGGTGAGGACATCACAGCACAGGCCAGGCTGGGGGTGGGGCTCAGGCCAGCTGGGGCCTCACACCTCCTGCTCTCATCTACTCGTCAAGAGTCTAGTAAAACATCTTCGCTTTGGTAATACAGCACTCGGCAAGGTGAGCCTCCTAACGGATCCCCGCAAAGGCCCGCTCTATGTGTCACAGGGCGCTGGGCACCGTCACAGCCTGGATAAGCAGGGCCAACAGAGGGTGAGGCCCCAGGCCCTTCGCTGGAGGAGGAGCTAGGACCCCACGGTTACCCAGATCATGAACACCAGCCCCCACACTCCGGGTACCTGCTCCCCATCAATGAAGGCCCCACCTGCAGGTGAGCCAGGGACAGCCACAGCCTCCATGGCATGGACAGCGGGTGTGCCGCCCAGTGTGCTACAGCACCCCCCAGCTAACACTGAAGCCATGCCGGCCACACCGTCCTATTCTTTTAGTGGCCACAGGGTGGGCCTTGCACCTTTCAGCAAGAGCGTAGCAGACCCCTGGGCCCCACCAGCTGAGGAGGGAGAGATCTGGCTGGGCTTGCACCCTACACAGGCTGTCCTACTCACAGACTACTCCTGACCACTGGCCCAGCCGTGGGAGGACGGCAGCAGGCACCATCCATGTCCCAGTGTAGGGCACGTGAACATTTTCCCGGGCTTCTGAAGATCAGGCTCATGTTCTGCGTCCAGGACCCTCCCAGCCCAGGAGCCTGGCTCAACCCTGCTCAAGCCTCCAGCCACAGCTCCTAAAGCACTCACCACGGAGCTCCAAAGGAAAGAGACGACCACTCTTGTTCAGGGTTTCAGCAGAATACTGAAAGTGACGGAGAAGAGACATTTCAATACTGTCACTGACACGTGAGAATTCAACAAGAACATCCCTGCATTCTCATTACTGCAGCACATTCTATTTTCCCCACGTTTTCTTTCTAGTTGTTAAAACAAAATGCGCCGGTCACGGTGGCGCACACCTGTAATCCCAGCACTTTGGGAGGCTGAGGTGGGTGGATCACCTGAGGTCAGGAGTTCGAGAACAGCCTGACCAACATGGAGAAACCCTGTCTCTACTAAAAATACAAAATTAGCTGGGCATGGTGGCACACGTCTGTAATCCCAGCTACTTGGGAGGCTGAGGCAGGAGAATTGCTTGAACCTGGAAGGTGGAGTTTGCAGTGAGCCAATATCGGGCCATTGACTCCAGCCTGGGCAATAAGAGCGAAACTCCGTCTCAAAAAATAAAATAAAAAGCACAGTTTTATTAAGACCTAACAAAATTCAACTGTGTAAACGGATATTTTTAAACTTTTTTTCTTTATAAAAAAGAGCTATAACACTAAACGGACGTTTTTATTCCAAGCCACAGGCATGTGTCCTGCTGCTGCTCCTGAAGCTCAGGCCCTCCTGCCTTTGGGCGGTCTTGGTGGCCGCCGTCTTAGCAAACCTCACCGACTTACTTTTCAGCAAGAGCTTCAGCCAAGACCCAAGCAACCCTTCCCACTTACAACAGCTCAGACACAGGACAGGAGACCCTCAGCCTGGCTCTGCAGTGTGGCACTGGTCTGGGGGATGTCCAGAGGGCAGGGTCTCCTCCCTTGAAGCAGGAAAGCCACTGGGCATGGTGGCAGCTTGAGGGTCTGCAGGGAGGCAATAAGGGAAACGCCACAGGGCTCCCTTCCCTGCCCCATGAAGTGCCAGGGAGCTGCTTGGCAAGTTGTGGCTTGGAGGCTGCTCTGTGTCTGCTTCCACACGCTCTCCCGTGCAGGCGGGGCGCAGGGCCCTGCAAAGGTTGGGGCACAGGAGGGGGTCCTCATGGGCCCCCAGCAAGCTCCCTAACCTCCCAGAGCCTCCTGGTCTGTGAGGATGTGGAAGGCCACCTGTGCGGAGGACATGGCTGTCCTGCAGGGTCTGAGCGCAGCAGCCCCTCTGCTTCTCTGCCACACCTCAGAACCTCGCAGTCACCTAAGTCCCCGGCACTGCCCTCTGTGATACCATTTCCAAATATGACAAAATTACAAGGAAATCCTTCATTGCTTCCCATAAAGGGAATGAAAGTTGGGTTTAACCCCAAAAAAAGATACCCATCCTCAGACAGGCGGCCTACACATGGGGTCCCACCTCAGCCAGCACGGTGGTGTGGAGCTGTGAACGCCTGGCCACACCATGGGGAAAGGGCCTGGTACGGCACGGGAACCAGATGACCTCCAGGTTCTCCCAGCCCGGGAAATGAGGAGAGGCGGCTCTGCTAGAGGTTCACACCACAGACCCTTGTTGATGTAGATCCTCCCAGGCCTGGGCCTCTCCCAGCAAGCACCAGGACCTCACTCTCTTCCTGCTCCACACAGCAGCCCTCCCCCAGGGCCATATCAACAGCGCCCAGCCCCATACTGCCGAGGAGAGACATCTAGCAAGGAAAGGACCTTCCCAGACAGGGACAAATGTCCAGCAAGGAAAGGGCCTTCCCAGCCGGGGACAAACACCCAGCAAGAAAAGGACCTTCCCAGCCAGGGACAAACGTCCAGCAAGGAAAGGACCTTCCCATCGAGCAAGAAGGCTCCCACAGGCAGCTCAAAGGAGCCACAGGCCTGCACGCCCCCGATGTGACCACCTCTGTGCAAAGACACACCAGGAGCAGGAGCTACTCCCAGCAGTGTTAGCCATGGGGGATGTGGGTATAGCGGGCAGAGCCGGGGTCCCCGGGAGCCAGGACTGGCCAGACAGCCAGGTCCCACAGGCTCAGGTGGGGGCTTACCAAAAACACATTCCTCACAGTCCTGGAGGCAGGAAGTCCAAGTCAAGGGACTGGCAGATTCAGTGTCTGGTAAAGCCACCTCCTGGTTCACAGATGGCCCTTCCCCTTGTATCTATGCATGGTCGAAGGAGCTAGCTTCCTCTCTGGGGCCTCTTTCTTAAGGGCACTTAATTCCGTTAACGAGGGCACTGCTGCCATGACCACTAACAGAGCCAGCCAAGTCAGCAGGAGCAGGAGCAGGCTGTGACGGGACCCTCACGACCACTCACGACCCTGCAGGAGTCCCAGGCTCCTGTCCTAAGGCCAAGGCTGACCAAGGAGCTGCCCATGCTGCCTTCTGTCAGTGGACAAATGCTCCATAAAAGGATGAAGAATGGGAGGGAGGGAGGAGGCAAAGGCTGAAGAGCTACCTACAAAGGACTATGCTCACAAGCCAAGAAAAGCACACCCAAGTGACAAATCTGCACATGTACCCCCGTATCTAAAATAAAAGCTGAAAAAAAGAGAGGTGAAGAGCAGTCACCTAAAGCGCGGAGGACATGGGAGTCTGTGGGCCACCCCGCACCAGGACATCTGTGCTGACACCTCCCAGGCCCAGCAGGCATGCTACGCAGCCACCTCCCTGGAAAGCCGCCCACGCCCTGGCTGACATCCACTTCCCAAAAATGTCCTCAGAGGCACGCAGCCATCTGATAGACATGTGCTGCTCTGAATCCTTTGGTCTTGGTTACAGATTCCTTAAAAATGTTTTCTTTATTTTGAGACTGAGTTTCCCTCTTGTTGCCAAGGATGGAGTAGTAATGACATGATCTTGGCTCACTGCAACCTCTGCCTCTCGGGTTCAAGTGATTCTCCTGCCTCAGCCTCCCAAGTAGCTGGGATTACAGGCATGCACCACCACGTCCAGCTAATTTTATATTTTTAGTAGAGACGGGGTTTCTCCATGTTGGCCAGGCTGGTCTTGAACTCCTGACCTCAGGTGATCCGCCCACCTTGGCCTCCCAAAGTGCTGGGATTACAGGCACGAGCCGCCGCACCTGGCCCTAAAAATGTTTTCTCAGTTAGCCAGGCATAGTGGTGGGTGCCTATAGTCCCAGTTACTCAGGAGGCTGAGGCAAAAGAATCACTTGAACCCAGGAGGCAGAGGGTGCAGTGAGCCGAGATTGTGCCACTGCACTCCAGCCTCAGTGACAGAGTGGACTCTGTCTCAAAATAAATAAATAAATAAATAAATAAATAAATAAATAAATAGTTTTCTCCATTTAATCATAAAAGGAAAAATGGGGCCCAGTGCAGTGCCTCACGCCTGTAATCCCAACACTTTGGGAGGCCGAGGCGGGCACATCACTGAAAGCCAGGAGCTCAAGACTAGCCTGGCCAATATGGTGAAATCCCATCTCTATTAAAAATACAAAATTTGCCGGGCTCGGTGGCTCAAGCCTGTAATCCCAGCACTTTCGGAGGCCAAGGCAGGTGGATCATGAGGTCGAGAGATCGAGACCATCTTGGTCAACATAATGAAACCCCGTCTCTACTAAAAATACAAAAAACTAGCTGGGCGTGGTGGCGCGTGCCTGTAATCCCAGCTACTTAGGAGGCTGAGGCAGGAGAATTGCCTGAACCCAGGAGGCGGAGGTTGCGGTGAGCCGAGATCGCGCCATTGCACTCCAGCCTGGGTAACGAGAGCGAAACTCCGTCTCAAAAAAAAAAAAAAAAAAAAAAAAAAAAAAAAAAAAAATTTATGTCAGGCGCAGTGGCTCACACCTGTAACCCCAGCACTTTGGGAGGCCAAAGCAGGCGGATCACGAGGTCGAGAATTCAAGACCAGCCTGACCAATATGGTGAAACCCTATCTCTACTAAAAATACAAAAATAAGTACCTGTAATCCCAGCTACTCAGGAGGCTGAGGCAGGAGAATCACTTGAACCTAGGAGGCGGAGGCTGCAGTGAGCCAAGATCACACAATTGCACTCCATCCTGGGTGACAGAGCAAGACTCTATCTCAAAAACTAAATAAATAAATGCAAAAATTTAGCCAGGTGTGGTGGGCACCTATAATCCCAGCTACTCAGGAGGCTGAGTAGAATCACTTAAACCCACAAGGCGGAGGTTGCAGTAAGCCAAGATGGTGCAACTACAGTCCAATGTGGACAACAGAGCAGGACTCTGTTTCCAGAAAAAAAAAAAAAAGAAAAAAGAAAAGATGGGAACCAGCCACGGTATCTGGAAAGAACACAGCTTTGCAGCCAGCAAGTCTCTTGAGACACCAGGCAAGCACTGCCTTCCCCGCCTCGGCCACCTTCCACACACGGCCTGACAGCGGGAAAGGTACTGACTGCAGGACCCAGCCAGCACTGCCACGGTAACCTCGGTCACAGTGGCCCTGAGCACCAGGCCCCACAAGCAGTGCCTGCAAAGGTTCGGGCCACATGCCACCTCCCACAGCCCAACACCCACACTCGCCAGCTCTCAGGAGGAGCGGCTTCAGCTTGGACCCTCAGACTCTCACTGGAACCCCCTAAGGTAAAGATGGGTCACACGAACCCAGTCCAGAGGCCTGAGCCTTCACAGCTTTCCCACCGCCCTCTCATTTCCATAACTTGCAAGAGGTTACAAATGCAGCCTGACCACGCCTCCAGAGCCCAGGCCCAGGACAGGCAGGCACTCCAAGAACCCCTGCTGGCTCTGAGGGCTTGGCAAGACCCTCCAGGCTAGACATCAGCCACCTCCTTCTGGATCTGCCATCTAACCAGGGCAGGGGCCCTGAAGGTGGCACATCCAAAGTCCACTCACCACAGCTGCAAGAAAATCAACCCACCTGCGGGAAGTCCAAACCCAAAGAAGCTAACCTGGTGATGAAATCCAAGACAGAGGCTCCCTTGGCAGGGGGGCTAGGAGGGGAGGGACAGGGAGTCCGCTGGGGACACGTGCTGCTGTTGACTGGATGGTAACAGGCACACCTGCACTTGGCGCTCTGGGGTCCACATGTGCACCAGACACCCCCATCCGTGGCCAGCAGAGGCCCCCAAGCCCGAGAACTTAGCCCTGGCCTCCACCTCCCAGTGTGACCATTCCCCTGTGACAGCATGGGGGAGCAGCACCCAGCCTCGAGCCACCCACAGATGCTTACCGGGCCAGCCTCGGCCTTGCAGGTGAGGTCATCCAGGCTCTGGCTCTGCAGCTTCTCCGTGATGAGTGTGACCATGGTCGGGGCCCTGCGTCCTCCGTTCACACCAACAGGCACTGACGTCCTGGAACGTCAGCCTTGAGAAGGCCCCGGCATTGCTAGGTCTGAGCCAAATCTCAAGGTCATGTCTCCACTTTACTGATGAACGGTCCACACCCACGGGCTCTTCAGGATTTGTGTCTGTTTCTTAAAAGAGAGAAATCACGCAAAACCATTTTCTTGATGTTGCTGTTACGTGCCAAGTCCCAGTGTATAAAGTATTTCCGAAATCCCGCCTCACACCCTCCCTCCCACTTTCAAAACTACCATGCAAGTTCTGTTCTGGAAAATCTAATCACAGTGGTCTTCTGGTTAAAGGCAAAGTCATGTTAGACCTACCCTCCGGAAGCCTCCACCGAAAGAAGGCCACCCCAGGCCCCTGCTCCAAAAGAGAAAACAGGACGGGAGACAACGGCAAGGACATCTGGAAGCTGGGAAGCTGCTGGAAAGCCAGCATCAAGCCAGGAATGCAGAAACCCTGACTACCCACCCCCTTCTGCTCCAAGTGGCCACACACCACCCCCACCCCCACACCAGCCAGCTGGGCAAGCGCTCTGCACTGAAGCTGGGGCGCAAGGAGCCTGCCAGGGTCTGCACCCGGCCTGCTGACAGCAAGGGGCTGGCTGAGGAAGGGCAAGGACTCAGGGGGTCTTTCAGGCCCTGAGCACTCCAGCCCTAGGCATGGGCAGCCCCAACTATACTGCAGGCAGGGGCTGCTCCCAACAGACACTAACTGGCCAAGGCGCCCAGCAAGGTGGCCCTGTGCCCAGCACGTCCCCACCTGCCCCAGCTTCGACCCTTCTCAGGGTCCCACTGTTGGGTGTGACAGCTGCCAAGGCCACCTAGTTCAGACCCAACAGAGGCCAAAACAGATGGGGGGGGGGGGGGGCAAACAAGCAAAACCAGCAACTTGGACAAGAGCACCAAGGGGAAGGCGAGACCTTCTCCGGCAGCGGCCTCTGCACTCAGAGTGATACGGCACCTCCGTGAAGACCAGGACACCCTTAAAAAGGAACTCCAAAGAAAAAGAAAAGTGCCTGGGAATGAAGACAGCAGCGACGGCACCTCCGCACAACCTCCAGGGTGTTCTTCCTCAGCTGCTGCCTGGCTCTGGCTTCCAGCCCATCTCCTGGGACCCACGGGCTGCCCCTCGGCAAGGACGCCAAAGCCCAGGCTGCACCTCCACCAGCAAGGCAACCCCGCTGGCCAGGCTGGCCTCGAACTCATGATCCTATGATCCACCCTCCTTGGCCTCCCAAATTGCTGGGACTATAGGCCAGAGCCACCGTGCCTGGCTAAAACACATTTTCCATGTTCCCAGTGCACCGGTGAAAAATACCCGTTTGCTTCGTTCTTCGAACCCAGGTGAGACGCTCGTGGCAGCACCACTCACGAGCATCTGCCCCAAAAGCCTGCCATGTGGGAGCCCCGTGAGCCATCCCATTAGAAGGACTGCCCAGCCACGAAAGCCACACTAGGAAGGCAGGCAGCGTCCAAGTTCACAGCACCGGCCGGTAAAGCAAGAGGCCAGAGGAGACTCACACGCACATTTCTGCCAGTGCTGGAAAGGTTTCAACACCGTTAATACCCGCATTCCGTGCTTAAAATGTGCATATACACCTGCTCTCAACAGGAACCAACAGGCATTTCCCCAGAAACCCAAAAGCCAGCATCTTCCTGAACAAGGGGCAGGGCAAAGGCACCACCACCAACACACCAGCTACGTGCACAGTGGGCCACCTGGCCTGGCTCGGGGCCTTCCCGTCAGCAGGTACAGCCCCAAGGCTGCCAGGCCCGGGGAACTGGGCTATCAAACCCAAGCACGGGTTCTGACAGGTGCCACCCACCCATGGCGCTGCTCCCGACCCGGGGACACACCACATCAGCTAAAGGCTGTGCCTGCCTGGCTCACTGGATCTGAAACTGCACCTCAGCGCTGACCACTCCCACCACCCTTGGCAGCCACCACCATCACCTCCAGCCCACAGCCAAGAACCCCGGACTCCAAGAGGGGTACCGTGCGCCAGGCCAGGGCCAGCCGGGCCCACTGTAATGCCTCAGAAGGTCTCTCCGCAGCAGGGACTCCATTCAAACTGTCTCAAACTAAGGAGCACAGATCAGAGCCAGCCACACTGCATACCCCATACTGTCAGCCGGGGAAAAGCCACAGCAACTGAAGTACCAGCTCACAGCCACAGCCCAGACTCACCTCTGTCCCAGCTTCAGAGCCCTCACAGAATGGGGCTCTATGGCTGACAAGCTGGCCTCCCTCCCTAATCCCACCACCCACTCCTGCAAGGAAAGGGGCCAGCTTCTTTCAACCATGCACCATGAGGGGCTTGCTCACCTGCCCTCTGAAACCTCCTGGTCACACAAAGCATACCTACAACACTAGAAAGGCGACAGCAGCCACAATACAACTTGAAAAAATAAGAACTAGAATTTTATTTTAAAAACAGGCCTCACTGGGCACAGTGGTTCACGCCTGTAATCCCAGCACTTTGGGAGGCTGAGGCGGGCAGATCACAAGGTCAAGAGATCGAGACCATCCTGGCCAACATGGTGAAACCCCGTCTCTACTGAAAAATACAAAAATTAGCTGGGTGTAGTGGTGCGTGCCTATAGTCCCAGCTACTCAGGAGGCTGAGGCAGGAGAACTGCTTGAACCTCGGAGGCGCAGACTGCAGTGAGCCGAGATCAAACCACTGCACTCCAGCCTGGCAACAAAGCAAGACTCTGTCAAAAAAAAAAAAAAAAAAAAAAGAAAAAAGAAAAAAGAAAAGAAACAGGCCTCCCACTCATAGTCTATGTAGAAATGGTAAAAGGGGCTGATTTCAGGGCTGGGAAAAAGAAAAGAGCTGGAACCCATCAAGGTGCAAGAAGTGAGGTTGGCTCCCCAGCAGCCTACAGGTGACACAGAGCAAAGTGAGTGGCTGCAAACTCAGGAACCCAGGAACCCACGGTCCCAGAAACCCACAGACCCATGGATCCAGGAACCCGGGAAATCCCACAGACCCAGGAACTCACAAACCTAGGAACCCACAGATCCAGGAACCCACAAACCCAGGAACTCATGAACCCATGAACCCACAGATCCAGGAATCCAGGAACTCACAGACCCAGGAACCCAGGAACTCACATTCTTAGGAACCCATGGACCCAGGAACCCATAGACCCAGGGACCCAGGGACCTAGGAACCCAAGGACCCAAGAACTCACAGACCCAAGGACTCAGGAACACACGAACCCAGGGACCCAGGAACCCGTGAACCCACAGACCCAGCAACCCAGGAACCCATGGACCCACGGACCCAGGAACCCCCGAACCCAGGTGAGGTGGGCGTGGCAGGAAAGCACCTCCTCACAGGGCAGTGGGGAGCCACTAGTGGGTGCAGAGGGAATGAGGAAAGTGCTTTAAAACCACCACCTGACCAGCCGCCAAACACAACAGTCTCAAGCCAGATGCATCCATGCTGCTGGATGTGTGCATGGTGAGAAACAGCACTCACAGCCTCAGAGTAACCCCCGAAAGACGCTCGTCAGCAACTAAGGATAAACAGTAAGAGCAGGGATGCGCGGCAGGTGCCTGAACCCAGCGATCAAGGTGAGCACCCCGAGAGCTTCCTGTGGGAGGCCCAGGACACAGACACAGAAACCTAGATTTTCTTTTCTTTTTTATTGAGACGGAGTTTCGCTCGTTACCCAGGCTGGAGTGCAGTGGCGAGATCTCTGCTCACCGAAACCTCCGCCTCCCGGGTTCAAGCAATTCTCCTGCCTCAGCCTCCTGAGTAGCTGGGACTACAGGCACGCACCACCATACCCGGCTAAGAAACCTGGATTTTCTTTCTTTTATTTTATTTTGAGACAGAATCTCACCCTGTCACCCAGGCTGGAGTGCAGTGGTGTGACCTCGGCTCACTGCAACTTCCACCTCCTGGATTCAAGCAATTCTCCTGCCTCAGCCTCCCAAGTAGCTGGGATTACAGACGTGCCACCACACTCGGCTAACTTTTTTATTTGTACTAAAAACAGGGTTTCACCATGCTGGCCAGGCTGGTCTCAAACTCCTGACCCTGTGGTCCGCCCTCCTCAGCCTCCCAAAGTGCTGGGATTATAGGCCCGAGCCACCGCGCCTGGCTAAAAAAAAACATTTTCAATGTTCCCAGTACACTGGGAAAATACCCGTTTGCCTCGTTCTTTTATCTACCCACTGTGTCCTCTCTCAGATTAGAGCCTCTTCCTACTTCTGCTTCCTGTGCACATCACTGCATGTGAGCAAGTACCTCCATAACTAGAAAGGCCTCCATGCATGCGCTAAAAACAAAGAAAAAATTACTCTGGCATTCTCACTTACATACTCCAAGTAGCAAGAGAAACGTTCTGTGGCCCCCACGTCCAACCTAAGTCAAGAAATGCAAGGATCCATCCAAAGGGGCGGACCCATGACCACGGCCACGGCCAGGGCGACCCTCAAAGTGGCAACACAACATAGCAGAAGGACAAAGCTGCAGAACCAAGCTCCAAGGCCAAGGGACAGCGCGTCTATCAAGCCGCAGAAGGCTTGGTGCCCAGCGTACAAAGAGGACTCAGGAGGGGGACAATAGCGCCGGCCAGGGAAACTAGAACCGTCTGGAAGAACTACCCCTAGTTTCCCTGCGCTAACCCAATTTAATTAAAAGCCACTGTTTCCAAACAGCGTCGATTTCCGCTCTGGGGTAACATTCAAGAGCTTCAAATAAATCAAAACCGTTTCCCAGCGTCTTGCCTTCAGGCTGCAAGGCTGCACCTCCCTTCTAGCACCCACTCGGATAAGGGGCGAGCTCGGGCGACAGGAGGGTCTTTAAAGCAGCATCCATGAGCTCGGGTTAAGTCTCTGAAATACTGTGAAACGGAAGCACATTCTTTTCATTTTTGTTGCCGAGACCAGGCACGTGTAGCAGGGACGGGGAAAGGCGGAGTTCGATCTGTAACTGACGGTCGGCGGGCCACGGAGCCCACCCACTCCCCGGCACCCGCCACAAACTCATCCACCCTAAAAAGGTCTCGGGGCCGGGAGGTCCTCGCGGCGGCGTCCGGGGTGGGTCCCGTTTGAGTTTAAAACGGAAAGTGCTTTGAAGTTACGGAAGCTCAGCTTCCAAGAAGCGGCACCGAGGATGCCGCGCGAACACTCACGAGGCCACTAACGCGGGCTGCGTGGGGAGCGGGCTCCGCGGAAAAAGACTCCCCTCCGGCGCGGGGCGCGGGGCGCGGGGCGCGGGGCCCGCAGCGGCGCCGCCTCCACGCCGGAGACCCGCGGCGGCTCACGCCCTCCAGGCCACGCAGAAGCAGCGGCTTCGGCGTCCGCCCAAAGCCCCTCCTCGGGTCTGCGGGCACGTCCGGCCTCCCGCGTCCAGGTCCCTCTCGGGACGCCCCCAGGCCCCGCTGGCCGCCGCGACGCCCGCCTCTCGCGCCACCGAACCACGGCGCGCCGCCACCGGGCCGGGCCTCGCCTCGCGCGGGGAAGTCGCCCGGACCGGGCGCGGACGGCGGGGGCCCGGCGGGGTCGGCCCCGCACCCGGCCCGGAGCGCAGGGCCCCACACCCGCAGCCGGCGCGCGGAGGCATGGGCGGCGCGCACGGCAGAGGCGGCGGCGGCGGCGCGCTCCGCCCGGGCTCGGTACCTGAGCGCGGCCGCGGGCCGGCGGAGCGAGAGGAGGGCCGGCCGCCAGGCCCCGCTCAGGGCGACGCGCCTCAGCCCCGGCGGAACAAAACCGCGGCCGCCGCCCCGCCCCCTCCGGCCGCCCTCATTGGCCGCCCGCGCCCCGCCGCCGCCGCCGCGAGCCCGTCCGTCAGCCGCCGCCGCCTCCACGCCGGCCCTGAGCCGCGCCGCGCCGGCAGAGGGGGCGGGGCCTCTGGGCGCCCCGCCCCCGCACCGCCCGCTGGGGCCCCCGCGCGCCGTGTGCGCCGGCCTGGCCCCGCCCCCGAGCCGACGCCCCGCCCCCTGCGCGCGTGCGTGCCCAGCGCTCGGCGGCGTCTCGCGGCCCCGGAAGGGAAGAACGGCGGCGGCGGCGACCTGAGGCGGCGGGGCGGGACACGCAGCGGGGAGGCGGGGCCGGCGCCAGCCGTGGCTCTGGCCGTTGTCCAGCCCGGGGCGCGCGGTCCCGGAGCCCGAGGCTCGCCGCCGCCGCCTTCCCCCTGCCGTAGGCCGGCTGTGCGGCCGCGGACAGGTCGCTCGCCCTCCGGGGTCTCGCTTCCGCACCTGCAGTGTGACGG